CCAGCCAGCCGATCGAGCAAAGGGCCGCGTGCGTACGCGACACGATTCCCCTCATCCTTGATCGCACACCGCGCCCGTCCAGCGACACCTCCATCCGCGGCACAGACCGGCGTCTGCAAGCTGCATCGCTGCTTTGCACTCACCTTGCAAGGCAGAACACACAACGTGCATCGTCGACCGAAGGCCTCTTTGTGATTCGATTTGACAGGCAGGTACGCGAATGCAGAACTTTGCTTAGCCTTGGCGACTTTTGGTTGACGCTTATCGTGGTGTTCCACTCGCAGAAGTGTCCACCGGCACTACCTCCTTCCCGCCTACACGTCCTCTAACTACACGTAAAGCGCTGGCCGCCACCATGGTCCGGACTTGAGCAGCTCCACTGCCGTGGACTGCGCACGGGCTCGTGGATACTCCCCTTCTCAGCCTATCGGCCGGGATCTTTTTCAAGGCTCTGTGCTTTCTTCACCCCAGCAGGAATGCAAAAAGCCACGCAAGGCGCCCTTGGCGGTGCCCAGCAAGAACGATGGGACGACGAGGACTTTGACTTGTCCGACTTTAGTGGTCCCAGCTCCTTCGGTCCAAGCGCTTTGACTCGGAGCGTCCTCTCTCACCAATCAGCCGAGTCCTTCGCTGCTTCTGGCAATCTCAGCAAGGACGTCGCATCAGACTCGCACGCAGACGACGATGAAGAGGAGAATTGGGATCTACCTGCGAATGCGTCCACCAGCGAAAAGGGGCCAGTCGTTGCCCAGCTTAGCGACGCCGACGATGACCAAACCGACACCATCAAGCTCTCCGCCCTCGCTGGCAACACTCTTGCTCAGCTTGCCGCTGCCAGTGCGGCTTCTCGGTCGAGCGGCATCCGAAGTGCTGCAAGTCCCATCACCTACGCTGGCAGCGTGACCCACTTGCGCGGCATTGGCTCGCGCAGCGGCAGCGGACGCGTGCTTCGCATGGATGCAGCCGGAGGGGGCGATTGGGAGGATGATCTGGAGTTACCAGACTTGCTGCCATCTCAACCCAGGCTGCGCAAGACGTCCAGCTCTGCTGTCAGTGGCGATGCAGACTTTGATGCCCGCAGCGGCGGCGAGACCAGCGATGCCACAAGCAACAGCAGCAGCTTCCTCCCGCGTTCGGTCGGCGGTGATTTGCACTCAAGCCATGGCAGATTTCCAGGCTCCACCTCATCCTCGGCGGCATCATCGCTGCTCTCGCCTCCACGCCATTCGTCAAAGCCATTTGCTGATCATGCGCTCCGAGGAGAGACGCAGCAACGCCTCGACGCCAAGCCTATCACCATTCCGGCCGATTTTGACGATTTTGAAAACGACTTCAATCTTAGTCCGCAACTCGATCGATTACATTTGAGCCCTGCTTTGACGAAGCCCGATGGCAATGTGTCAACACAGAAGGCCAGCGCTTTGTGGGACGACCATCCGCACTCCATATCGGTTGGTAGCTCGGCCAATGTGGAGCAGACAGACCATACCAGTAGCCAGCACTCCCCTACGCGAACGTTGCGGAGCGAGGGACCGTCGGCCAAGGTAACGCCAGACAGTGACGCCGATGACGAGGGCGAAGACCTGTTGGAGGGTCTCGAGGTGCCTGCAGGCCTATTTGACACTGATACCGCAGCGCAACGCCAGGGCAAGCAGCGTCAAAGTGTAGGAACAGTCCTATCTGCCAATGAGCGACTTCGGGCTGTGCTGCATGCTAGAGAATGCGGTCTGTCAGCTTCTGCTTCCGGTGCTTTTGGACCTCCTTCGCCATTCAGCCCGACAGAGAGCGAACGCGACTTTGCTTCAGGACTTGTCATCTCTGACGACATGGACTTGTCTTCGGGTCGCTTACAAGCCAAGTCGCTGAGCTACGGTACAAGAATGGTCCAACGTCTTCCATCGGGTACAAGAGGAGTGGTCTACGTACCTGCAGCGCCTCACAGGTCCGAAAGTGAGCCAAGACCATCGTCGTCTGCCGCAGCGCACCGAGTGGTGGCGAGTCGGCATTCATCCGACCATGCGAGTGGCGCGGTGCCGCAAGTGAAAGCGTTGCCACGTGTCTCTGCTCTACCTGCTGCATTGCCATCCCACGTTGGTCGAGGCACATCCTCCACGTCAAAGTCCTCGCCGCCCAGGGCTTCATCAGCCTACAGCCATGCGACGGGCAAAGGACCTTCACAGACTGTCTTGAGACCTTCGAATCTCTCGCTCGCTCCCAAAAAGAGCGCGGTCGAGCTGCGTGGTGCGCCTGGCTCTGGATCTGCCCGGCCCCTCACCCACGGTCTCAGACCTCCACCGGCGGCACTGAATCTTATGAGCCGCAATGTGGGGGAATTTGGCCCAAAGAGATCTTCGCAGCTGTCACAAAAGCGCAGTTTGCCTCACATGCGTCACCAGTCGAGGACGCAGTCTGCCGATTCAAGTTCACCAACACGCAGCAATCATGAGAGGTCGCCTGGACCTCCTACACCCGCTGTTTCGTCTCGATCTGCTGCTCCCACCGAGCGCCCGGCACTTGCAACAGCTGCGCTCTCGACGACTTCAGATTCTCTGCCGCCCGCGAGACCCAGCACTCCTTCATACTTCTTGCCCACGAAAGCGTCAGCAAGTCGCTTTGCTGCTTCCACGTCTGCCCCTCGTACCAGGCAAGGGACGTCCGAGATCTCCCTCGCCGGCTCTAGTACGTCTCAAGGGTCCTTGCCCACGAGTGAAGCCCCAAGCCCTTGGGATGCAGCTGTAACGCTAGCGCATAGATCACCGGGCAATCTTGCACACGGCAGTAGCTCCAGTGCTCCCGCTCCTCTGCGCGAAGCATCCACAAAGAGGTCCAGCAAAGTTCGGATGCTTCGGAGACCGGCCAGATTACGAGCATACACGGGCGATGAGCTCGATGCTTTTGACGATCTTCCCACCAATCCTGAAGACGAGAATCGATACCTGAGGCCGCGCGCCGTCGGGCCAGCAGGACCTCATCCGGGCGATTTCACAGCCAATCTCGGCTTACCTGACCCAGCAGCTGCGGCCAGACCGAGACGGATCAGTTCGGCTTCCAATGCCTCCAGCACCGGTGCGCGGGACGCGACATTGAAGGCCAAAACAACTGCAGACTTGATATCTGACCTGGCTCGCCAGTGGTCTGAGAAGCAGCCGTCGGCAGCGCGGCAACGGTACTCCATCCCTCATCAAGGAGGCATTGTAATGGGCGGACCAAACGCTCCATTGAACCACGAGCGACCGCTGGGCGCTCGTGCGACCCGCAGGCGAAGTAGGACATCTCAATCTCCTACATTGATACGCAATTTGGGTGGAGCCTCATGGTCGCCTAGGGTGATAGGTAATATGCGGTGGAACAGCATTAAACGCTGCTGGGAAGGCAACGAAAACATGCTAAGGGATTTTGAAAACGCTTTGAGCAGCAGCACGCGACCTGCTTTGATTACGCAAATGCCGGCAAGCTACCAAACGGCAGGGGCTGGGGCAAGCCGCTTGTGTTCACCCACCATCGCCTCGCCTTCATTTCAATCAGCACATGCGATTGCTGCAGCCTCTACGTCAGGGCTTCTCCCTGGTCACGGACACGCCAAAGCAACGAACAAGGATTGCCCTCAGGTTGTCGGTAGCATGGTCTTCGATGCTCAGAGCATGAAATGGGTGCCCGCAGACGGTGTGGAGGAGCCTGATCCCTTTGCTAATTTGGAAGATGACTCGACCGAAGACATAGATCTCGTATCCGAGCCCGGCACCGCCGACGTGGCGATCAAACTTGCGGGCATCTCGCCTGCACTTCCTCGTCATGTCGTGGAGGAAGCTATGGGAGGACAGTTGGGAGCACGCATCCCGGGATCCTCGTCCTCAGAAGCAGGTGTTGCGCGTCGCATGCGCTCTTCAGATCTTTTGCTGCCTCTAGCAGACACATTGTCTCAGACTGGAGTGCACGAGGCGATTCAGCGCGCCCGTGCTGTGAGCGCTAGCAGGGCAACACAACGCTCTCGCAAAGAGACGTACTCAAACATTGCCCGGGCGATCCAGCGTGGCGATCCTTGCCCTCCCAAGGACATGCAGACATATGTCCACACAGAGCTCTGGCGCGAGTCCATCGACGCGGAGAAGAGGCATCGCGCAGAGGTGCGATGTTTCTATCCATCTGCTTCCGCCCCCGTTTCGACACTCTCGTCAACCAATACGCGCAGCGGGACCTCTCGCGGTGTAGTGGGGAGATCTGCTGCTCAGAGCGCGCGCACCAACAGGGAGGACCTGTACCTCCTGCAGCGTCTGGCCAGACAAGCAAATGCTCCAAATGCACCAACATCACAGACTCGATCGTAAATTCGTAGCAGATGATTGAGGTAAAAACCACGGGCGCTTTCTTTCGCAAGATTACTTGGCCATCGCGTTTGCACTGCGGGCTTTCACACGCATCGTTTCCTATACCGCCCGCCGCCCTTCCAAGCTTCCTCGGTCGCTCTCTACATGGCTTTGACTTGACCGCATCTCCCTTGTTCTTGTGCTTGCAATGTCACAAATGATCCAGCGTTCGTTGCACATGATGCTGGGCACTCGACCGCGGTGCACTGTCATTTCATTGCAATTGCATCCCAAACACCAGCATACCTTGTCCAGCCCGCAACAATCGCGAGAGCAGCGAGAGCATGCGGAAGGGGCAGTCTAACGATGGTGAAGACCCATATTGTCCCAAGGGGAGGTAGTTGACGAGTCGATTGAGTATACGGGGCCTGTCGGGATCATTGCTTTGGAGTCAGCAGCGCAAGGTAAACCAACATAGGCAGCGAGGTGTCGTTGTGCCAGTACAGATACTCGCCTTGGCGTACACCCACAGAAAAGCGACTCCGCTCGCCAATGAAAGCAGCGTGATGAAGGCTTCTAGCAGCCTTGCCTGGAGGGTTGTGCGTACCCTTCGAATAGCCGCTTCGAAAAGAAGGATGAACAGTCTCGGTCTCGTATCAGCGAGGGGGTCCCCTCGCCGGGGCTTTCCAAAGATTGCGATTTCTCTGACTCACTGTAATAGATGAATACAGCGAGGACTTGGAATCAAGATGCGAAGAGGTGAGCTGATT